GATGAAAATACTTACAAACACACTGTGCGATGTACTCGATACTACGATATGACGACACTGATTAAAATATTAAAAACGAGCGCTTAAACTGAACAAAATTTGCATGGAACATATAAGGAACAAAGGAAATAAACGAACTTTGACTTAAGCTGACAAATACAATGGCGAACACTACTTAACGAAACAAAGCGAAAAACAAACAAAAAACCACTGTTGGCGCTATGGCGCTAACATACCGGCCCCTAAAATTTATATTTCATATACGTATTTTAACCAAAACATAGGTAAGGACTACTAAATAAAGTCTCTTATATGAAAATATTTAAGTTAAATTAATTGTCCAACATTGTTCAATAAATGCATCCATGGTCTTGGAGCTTTCAGTCGTCTGTGTAGGCTTCCAATAGACAGAGCTTGTGTATGGGTCGTTCGAAGACACCCTTTGCTGTCTTGACTGTAACCCGTCTCACCAACCCTTGTGGATCAGGCTGAACTTGGAGTACGCGACCCAATGGCCAGGTGTTGCGTGGGGATGATTCATCTACCAAAAGAACTAAGTCGTTGGCTCTTGGGTTGTTTCTCTTGGGTTGCATCCATTTTGTTCTCTGTTGTAGCAGGTGTAGGTACTCTTTGGTCCATCTTTTCCAGAATAGGTCAGTAAGGAATTGAACTTGTTTCCATCGTTTTCTTACGTACAAGTCGTTACGGTCAAATATCCCAGGAGGGAGTGAAGGCTCTCTATTCAGAAGCAACAGGTGATTGGGTGTCAGTGGTTCGTCGTCATTAGGGTCTTCTGATGGTTGGGTCAGAGGGCGTCCATTAATGATAGACTCTACTTCTGTCATGAGTGTTATGAACGATTCGTCGTCCAGGTGTTGTTMRCTGGATATTGCGTTCAAAACCTTGCGTATGGTACGTATGCACCTCTCCCAAGTACCACCAAAGTGCGAMGCTGTAGGTRGGCTRAAATGCCATTCAATTTCCTTCTGCAACAGTAACTGATGAATTTTCTCGTTRTTCCAGAGCTTGATGGATTCTCGGAGCTCTCTTTCACCACCAGCGAGATTTGTTCCGTTATCGGAATAGATTCTTTTCACTTGACCTCTTCTTGCTATAAATCTTCTCAATGCCAGAATGAATGTATCGGTCTCGAGGGATGACGCAACTTCAATRTGCACAGCACGAACRGCGAGGCAGGTGAAGATGACGCCAWATCTTTTAACTAATGATCTCTTGAGCTTCACCAGAAAAGGTCCAAAGTAGTCTATGCCAGTATTCGTGAAGGGAGGCTTRTCAGGAGTAATTCTTGCTGCTGGAAGATCAGCCATCTTCTGTGAGTTGGGTTTCTGGTGTCTCTTTCTGCAATCATAGCACGACGAGAGTAATCTCCTTGTCAAGGCATTGGCATGAACAATCCAGAAGCGTTGGCGGATCGCTGTTAGCACGTATTCCCTTCCAGAGTGGCCAGACACCAAGTGCGCTTCTTTAATGATCAACGTGGCAATCCAGCTATTCTTTGGAACAATGACTTGATGCTTTGAATTGTAGGGCAACGAGGACTTCCTTAGACGTCCACCAACACGTATCAGGCCATCCTTTAGAATCGGATCCAGCTTGAGAATCTGACTTGTCTTTCTGGTACTTGTGCCTTTAGCAAGATCTGCAGCTTCTTGGGGAAAGGCTTGTCCTTGGATATAACGAAGTATCTCATGTTCTGCATGTCGAAGTTCGCTGACTGTTATAAGCTCGTCCCTTTGTCTTGCCTTCTGATCTTGTGCCCCCTTTCTTGAGCGAAATCTTTGTTGAAGTCGCATACACATTGCAATGAATGTCTTTAGGCGAAAAAAGGATGAGAATCTCTTGAAGATCTTTTCCAAAGGGTCTTCTTTCTTTACAACTGTGATGAGGGAGCATTTCTCTTTCTTGACTTCAGGATCTTCATCAAGTGTTGAATAGACATCACTTGGGTGTGGAAGTATCT